TTATTACACTTATTATATGTGATCTCTATTTTTGTTCAGAAGAAAATCATTCTTCGCACTGAATACGTTCACTAAAGTCAGTCATAAAACAGCTGTCTATTCAATATTTCATATCCAGTACGTTTTTAAATATATAAATGAATTGTTTTAAGAACATTTAACGACATTGAATACCTTTCTTTTTTTTTCATAAATTCGTTTACGGAATGAAATCGTTATACTAATTTTACAATTCTAGTCGAGGGTTTTCCTAATTTCTTATCCCTGATGCTGAATATCTTCCTTTTCTTAATCCATTACGGCAAAATGTGCATTTATTTTTGCTTGATTTCTTGAGGGATACCCACCTATGAAAGAGATGCCTTCGTGTAGAATGTTAAGGCAAAGTGACTCCATATTCACGTAAACTTACTTCCAAGGTATTTTAAATTTGCAGCAACTGCAGTAAAATTTGCGTAACATCGAGCATTACGTTAAACAAAAAAATCTGATGTGTACACCACATGACTTCCTTGTACGGAATATTAAATTATACGCATTTTTTCTTGCATTTTTTTCTTTATTAGATTGATGATTAAACTTACTTCGCCGACAGCGCATAAACCACAATAGAATAAATGCATTCTTTAAAATTCACTTTGTTTACCATAGCGACACTCTGGCGCTAGGTTTACTTAATAGTATTATATTTCCTTCATATTATAACTCAGAATGCACAAAATGTATATCATTTAAAGAATTATCTAATCGTTGCCACATGTTCTATTCAAATACTATAATAAAGCTAGAACTAAGTATGAAAGAAATTAAGCAAACAAAACAGAAACAGTTTTTCACAGACGATTGAGTATTTCTCATTTAATTAATTCAGTTCTCACTTTGCGAGAAGGCAAAAATACATAAAAATTCAAAATATCTATATTAAAAATTACGAAGTAAATCTCAAACGCTTATTTCCTTGAAAAAATTACAGAAAGAATTATGCATGATTTAATTGGCAATAATAAATGAATGCGTTATCTTTGTTGCTGCGAAGCTAAGTTTCTCTAGATTGGCAACAAATTCACTAGTCTCCTGTTTCAAACGTAAACATCAATGGCCGCCATTAAAAACAGGCTTAGCGGCAATTAAACAACTTTAAAATTGGTGATAATTCTAAAAATATTGCATACAGAGTTACTAAAGGCATAAAATCCTTAACCGGAAGATAAAAACAACATAATTCAATCATTTTTAAAGCAAAAAATGTACAATTTACAAACATATAAGAGTAAAGAAACTGAGATCACTGAGCCAGGTAATAGAGTGGATATATATATAAATATATTTATATACGTTTGATGCTGCGATTGCAACTAAAATACGAGGTGCACATCTACATGTTATAGCAGTCCTATATACAAAATTTTAACGTTCTAAGGCTACTCCTTTTTGAGTTATGCGAGATACGTACGTACGCACGAGCGTACGTACGTACATACGTTCGTACAGACGCCACGAAAAGTTCTCTTCAGAATTAATTTTAAAGCAGTTTTATAATTTTTTTGAAGGAAAAGAGTATTTTATTCTGTCCTTACGTACAGATATGACGCAAAAACATCGTTAAATTGCATTCGATAGCGGTCAAAATGGATATTTTCGTTGAAATATGCTGCCTGAAACTTTTCGCGATTACAATATTTCCTTTTTACTTCGTACAAGGAAGTAAAAACATCACTGATTTGAAGTGACAGAATGGAAGAATAACTTTTCATTCGAACTTCCATTAACATATACTCTACTTAAGCGGCTATTCCCCATTTAACGGACGTCAAAGGATAAATATACAAAGGATTACTGGACTAAATTTCCTGGTCTCGAAGGTGAGGCTACTGCAGTTCTATTTAGCGAATACTCCGTGGTAATAGATAAAAAGCAGATCCAGCAAATATTCGTTAACAGAAAATTCGACTGCATATCAATGCAGTTCAACAAGGTTCAAAATTATTTCTTATTACATTTATTTATATTTCGAATTCCATAAAAATATTATTTAACATAATTCTTCGAACAAATTTTTATTTCTTGATTTTTTAGTTATATTAACATCTTGTGAAAAAAATAGCATCATTGCCAATGTTTTAAAATTATCCTTTTGTTAGCTGAAGCAAAAATTTTTGTGAGTTTATAAATCATCATTAAAATCACAATTCTTATATTTTTGCTAATATCTGTGCTTACTATATATGTATAATATAAATATGCAATTAAGTTGCGAATTTCAGCTGATTCCTGCTTATATTACCCTTAGATTTTATTAGATGACTGTTGAATACAACAAATAGTTTGATAATTGATAATGGCTAAGAATAAGAGAATCACCTAGGAAGAAATAAAGACGAGATTTTTCGACCACTCAATTCGTATAATATTGTTTTTCCCGCAAAATCAAATGCTGTGAATCAGAGTTTATAGTAAATGATAGATTGTAGACAATTTCATTGCAGTTACAAGTACTGAGCTATTTCAGTATTCATTAACTTACGCCTGATATTGTTCAGTCAGGCATTGCGGCTGTGAATATAATAATTAAGCGATAGAATATCGCCGAATTGCAGAAATTGTAACTGCACAGAAGCGAAAAATCTGAAGAACTCACAGTCCCTCAGTTGGAATTGTCCGCTAAAAGGGATACTAGTTGTACATCTGTATAAGAGTTTGTCAACTACTAATGACATAAATTAATATAAGCTTTTAGTTAACATCATGAAAAATGGTCTTTTGTCTTCTACATCTATAATCTATAGTAGAATAATTTCTTATTCTTCTTAACAATTTCGATACATTCATTTATAGGCATTTCTGTATGATTAAACTAATTACGAAATAATAATAATAAGCCCAACACATACGAACTGACAGCAGATTAAAAATCTTATTTATTTTATAAATGGTAAAAGTCTAAATGTCTTATAAATGGTAAAAGTCTGCATAATAATAATAATTATCATAACGTTAATAATAATAATATTAATAATAATAGTCTTTTTTGTCGAAAACAAAGATTTGAAATATGCAATAACTTCCTGAAACTTCTATATGCAGATTAAGGACATACTCAGTTATTTCGCAATCATATATCTCACCTATATAAATGCAAAATTACTGCTAAAAATTTAAATTCGTGCAAAATTGAATTAGATTTTTTAAGACTAAAAAGAATTGAATTAGATTTCATTGAATCTAATAGAATTGAATTTTTAAGACAATTGAAATTTTAAGAAGAATTGAATTTTTAAGTGTGTGTGTGTGATTATGGCAAAGCCTCGAGGGCTATCTGCCTAAGAGGAGGGATGCCTTCGTGGAGGACTTTCTAAGGGAAACTGGCTCGTATACACGTTACACATGGGGAAAACCACGAAAACGCCCATGCAGCCAGCCCGTTCGCGGGATTCGAACCTCGGACCGAACTACCAGTGTTCAGCGACTTTACCGCTCGGCCGCTGGTGGGCCTGAATTTTTAAGACTCTACTAAAAAGAATTGAATTATAACACTATTAAATTAGATTTTTTAAGACTCTACTGCTACTTTTTATTTTTAAGACTCTGCTAAAAAGAATCCTCATACGTGATTTGATTTGAAAAGATTAACTACAATAGATAATTATTATTCTAAGCGCAAATAACTGAAGGTAAAATTAACTGGTTTTATACATTTCATGACCTTGTATTTGAAACTGATTTACTGTTATTGCTTTCTCATTTTCCTTATGATATCATTTTCAAAACAAAACAAAAAAAAGCCCCATATCACATAAATTTCTTCGAATTTAAGTGTTCGGTTTTAGTGTTTTTAACTTCTATTTATTTCCAAAATTTAGGAGTTACTTAAAAATGCCAGTCACTAATTCAAGATTTTCCCTTTCGTTTAATATTTTATTAAAATTCATCAAAATAGTAATATATCACATTTTTTAAAATTTATGTATTCAATAAAAATTAATAATTATTAATAATTCACATAATTAATTCTCAAACCCGCTATTTATTTATTGTAATAAAATAAAAAAATCTTTAAAGAATTAGTAATGCTATTAATTTTATCTACTGTTTATTACATACATAATTCATAAAATATTAGCTCTGCTTATTTTATGTCATTTCAGTGATAAATTAACGATATTTTACCACAAATAGTAAAAAGGTTGAATTTTTCAAAAATAATTATACAGTTATTTTTGCAAGCGATTTTGTAGTTATCGAAACATGTATATTACTAATATCTTTCTGACATTTAGCATCATTATTAACGAAATTGCTTTTAGTTATAATTAATGGAAGAACATAATTAGTCCAAAGTGGCTTTGTCCCTGAAGGACTATTGTTTTCGTTTTGCGATTTTGCGTTGAATCACTATAAATGTCCGTTTCACTTTTCAAACTGTTGCCACCAAATGTTAGAGTCCTGCATTATATTTGAAGAAATTAAATAATGAAAAATCTGCGTAAATATATGTGTATTTCTCGCATTGTGATAAAAAAAATGGTACATAGAGCCATCGAATTTCGAATGACGTAATCCTCCTACGAATATGGGCATGTGGAAGACCAAATTTGAAATTTGGAATTTGTTTTATTACCGATTTCATATTTTATAAAACTTCAACGAATTTTTAATTAACAAACTCAAGAACTTCAAAGCGGGAAAAATGGCAACACTTTACGGAGGAAAAAAAAAATCTTTTTATCTCCAGCGCGCGGAACTGTGCATCGGAAATTGTAAAGATATGCTCGTTTTAAAATTATTTTGCGACATTGCTATTGAACTTAATTTTATGGTTTAAGTACAAAGAACATGATATTTAATAAATAAAGGTAACACACAAAACGTTTAAAAAACACCCCTTTAGACGTAATTTAAAATCTGAAACCTTTCAGATTTTTTTTTTTTTTTTTTTTAATATTTATCTCTTATCTACAAAAATTAAAACTCCGTAAATGCGTCAAAAATAAAATTCTTACCCTTTTAAGTGTTCCAGTTTTGTCATCTGCCAAACATGCTGTAAAAAAGGAAAAAAGGTCACTAGTAATAAAAAAACACAATCTTTAAATTCTCCATAACACTGTTAAATAAATTACCTTTTAAAATGAAACATTGTAATTAAGAATCCTTAGCATTTCAGCACTTATTAAACTCAAATAGTGAACAATTACTTCCGAGTTTTAAAATAATAATTTTTTAATTTCCTAAATATACAGAAATTTATTTATATTCCAAATATATATACATTAAATTTGCATAAAAATGTTCTCAGTTATATTTTAGTTGTCTCCCTCTTCCTCCAACCAATTCATGTAATATGTTTTAGAAAAAACTGAAATATTGATTTATCTATTTTCAGAACATATATTTGCTCAAATTATACTGTTATTTACATTCCTGATGCATTATCAACATACTGATTTATGTTATTGGAATACTATTAGCAATTCTGTGAAGTAATTTCACTAAAGATGCTAAAAACGCTGAGAAATAACTTCATACACCGAAGGAGGACAAAATAAGTTTTTCCATTTGCTATAAAACTTACGCGGCTTAAAAATAGACTTGAAACATATAAGTTCCGATATTTGTTTCTGGTATATTCTGTTCATAAAATGCGTAAGACAAAGAATACTAGGGAATAAAACTAATTTAATGTAAATTCGACCTAAAATTGCTTCAGCATGTTATGCGAAGTTGTTTCCGCATTTTTCTCAAACATAACTACGAATGCCATTCTCTTCTAAGATTCTCAAAGGAAGAAATAATAACTTTATAAACGCTTTCTGCATCTAAATCCCTTACAAATATTTCGATTATCATGGAAAAGTAATTATTTTGCACTGCAATTTTATACCGCAGTTAAAGAAGTTCTGTTCTCTTCTTCCTATGCTGGTTACAGAAATCTAAATAAGTAGCAAAACTGCGATAGCTGATTGGTTGAAAAATATACAAATTGCAATGCTTTTTAAAAAGTAAGAAAAAATGAGCGTTTTCTTGTTCCGGAGATGATTACATGAAGTAGCTACTTGTCTGTCCTGAGTGTGATAAGGACTCGCAAGATTAGTTTCATTTGTGGAATTCAGTTATGGTCCATTTGAGCCAATTAATCAAAAATAAACACATCCAGAACAAATCATAGAATTATAATACTCCTATATTGTATATAGCAGAATATTTCAAATTTCATAATTATAAGCTTTATGGCTGTCAATAATAAAGTAATAAAGCATATTTTTAATCACATTTTCAATGATATTTATTTTATATTTATTACTAATTTTATAGGTATTAGAATCATAAAGTTATTTTAACACATGAAAAATGAGCAATGCCCTCTCAAAGATGCCTCTGGACTCGAACTTGGACCTCTCGAAGTATATTTCCAATTACATCACGAAGGCATGCGAAAAGCAGGGAGAAAATACCTTATATGGTTTAATTTATTTTCGAACGCATATATTTATTGAGGTCTCAGATTGCAGTTATTATTATTCAAATATTTTATTAATTTTTTAACTGTATTTTCTCGAAGATATTTGAATTTTAGATATATTGCATCTTTATTACGCTTATTGGTCTTATTACGTCTTAAGTATTACAGGCAGTTTAATCGAGTATTCAGTCTATTTGTTCTTCCAGAGTTAGAGGTCCAGTTACAATATGGGTAATAGATGTGATGATACAAGTGCACCGAACAATGCATTAAGAAAATTACATTGTGATAGGAAATATTTTTTTTCTGTTTTAAATCGAAACCTTCTTTTCAAAGTGTAAATTGGATGTTTGTTTGTTTCTTAGCTGTTGATGCAATCATACAAAGCAGAAGCGTGGACTAAGGAAAAGCAGTGGCACAATATCAGTATTTAAAACTTGTTCCCTGGAAAACAATGGCCCAGAATGCTCGTAGAACCTTAGAACCTTGAACTGCGCTCATAAAGTTCTGTCAGCTGCGACATATGAGAGCGGTTCCCATTTTAAAGATGGGGCTCACCATGACCTGATTTCGACAAGACATTTCATATGCGAAAGCTTCATTTTGTATGCGCATCAGTGATCTCTCAGCGAAATGAATTCCGCTTTCAGCGAAATGTCTGTTTGAAATACTCGACTAAAAGAAAACGGGGAGGAATGTGCCGATTAAAAAACGAGTTCCGTTAATTCTCGCAGGGTCTGCCCCAGCACTGTTGTTTTCCAACTTTTAAATGTGTGACCCAAATAAAGTGAGCGGTCCAACCAAATGTCCGAGGGTCATGACTTTCGTTAGGGAATGAATTTCTGCTCACATAATTTTTCCATTAATTCTGTTAATCCTGAGGCCTTCCCAGAGTTGTAATCTTACCAAGGTCTGTTGCAACAATATGATTTAATTAGTTAATAACAACTGAAATTTATTGATAATTATTTTCATGGATATTTAATTTTAGTATAAAATGAATTTAACATGGTAAAGGACGATTAGTTTGTTTATTTTGATTTAAAACTTAGAAATTAAAGGAAAATCCTAATTTAAAAACATATGAAATATCAAATGTGTAATACATGTTTAGTTCACAATAATAAATTGGATACTATAGACGAGAGATGGACTATTAATTATGATATACACACATATATCTATGGACTTACATCTCATGGTAATTATTTATACAAATTGGTAAACGTTTTCTAAATAAAAGTACAGTTAAGATACAACAACACGCTGAACAAATATTAATTTAGAAGTCAAACAACAAAATCAGCGTTACATTTTCAAATTCTAAAAGCACAGTTATTACATAACATTTATACGAATATTCACAGTATATTACATAACATTTATACGAATATTCAAGTCAAAATAAGAACAATTTAGAGGGCAAGTGTTTTTTGAATAACGATATTTTGAAATGTGTTTTCCTCCTTTTATATGCGGCCCACCAAGACTGAGTGGATAAGACAACTAAATAGCAAATAGTTCAGCCGAGATTTGAAACAGGTGAACGGATTGTTTGCACCAACATTTCAGAAGTTTTCTCCATGTATAAAGTGAATGCGGGCCAGTTTCCTCTGGTAAGTTTTCTACGAAGGCAACCCATTCTTGACAAGTCTTACGTGCGTTGCCTTATTAAAAATCAACAATCCAGTTTTTATACACATTTATCTTCATACAGACGCTAAAAATTTTAGAGTTTGCTATAACTTGAAAAATTTACAAACGAACTACATATTTGAAAATGCTGAAAAAGTTACAGAAAAATCTGTTAAAATATAGGTAGATATTAATTAGTTTTATTATTTACCGCCATAAAATATGCTCAAATCTACTACTACAATTCTTCATTTTGATGCCTATACTCTTCATTTGATGTCAAGTATTAGTAATACCTATAAACAGCTACAGAGTTTTGTATCATATTTGATTATGTTAATGTAGGAATTGAGAGATAGACGATCCATTTTATAAGCACAGAACACAAATTAAATTTCGATAATTATACTATTGCATTTTTTGGTGTATTTCGTTTTTCTTATAAATTTATTAACATGTTTACAGTCTTGCAAATGCACATTTTTCTTTTTTATGCATTAATAAAAAGTAAGCTAGAGAAAAGAAATGTTGTGACAATTTAATTCTTACATTTTACTAACAGTTAACTTTTCCATTTAAACCCTGCTCGGTCTTTACTGGCTCATTTCCCATATGTCACTCAAATCGGAAAGTCACACAAATTTAACAACATGCGGTATAGTTTGAAAGTAGGAGATTAAGCTTAAATGTGCTCTACTGATCGTCCACCGCTGTCTCTTTAAGAATTAGCTCTCGCGGATTTTGTTGAAGGACAAAACATTAATAATAGCTGTGAAGCTGGCATGTGGTTTATGAGATTATCTGTAGTGTAGATCAACCAAGTTTTTATATTTTTAATGATAACTTTGTTTTGTAAATATTTGAAATTTAGTCTCAGGGTACAGCAGCCTATTCGGTACCATACGTTTAATGTAAATTTTGGTTTTAGTTTATGCTGGAATTTTAATTGGAAACCACCAAGAGTAACTTAATAAATATATATTCGGATTTTAATGCGATTTGTTTTTCTGTTTCTGTTCAGGTTATCAGCCTTAACGCAGCTATAAACTTTTAATATATAGGTTTTCAGCCACATTATTAATTTTAATATACAGCTTGTAGCGACTTAATGATATTAGACTAATCAAATTTATTTTCCTTTTCTTTAAGCTAATAAAAAATGCATACAGTAATTTTGAAATTTGAAATATAAAGTACGTACGAAAGATATATATATATATATAACTATCATACACGTTTGAATTTTAATGCAGTGTAATCTTGTCCTTAAAAGAAATTTCCAAACAGAAGCTGGAAAGTTTTCAACCAAAGTCTCAAAGAAACTTTTGCATTGTTTTACACAAAATCTTCTCTTTTCTTCTTATTTTCTATGCACTGTCGATTATCTTTTTCTGATGAACATCCACTGGAACAGAGGAGAATGTTGATATTGCAAATCTCACAGATCCTTTTACGTTATATAATTCACATCTGTGAATACAAATGTAAGACCATATTTTACATATGTCCTGCTTAGTTTTTCTTGTATTAAAATTGAAGCTGAAAGCAAATTATTATTTTTACTACTTTTATTCTACTGCAGACATTTTCTTAGTTCATAGTTCCCAAACAGTTTGCAACATAGAAGAAAGTATTTTCGTACAAAGCGCAGAAGAAATATTTTTGTAGCATTTTATGCGCTGTTTGGTTTTATGTAAGCAAGCGCAGCCAATTTCCATACAGATGGGCTTAGGTTCAAGTCTCAAGTAAGGATAAAAAATCTCTGACGCTTTTGCCCTCTTCTAAGGGCAAAGTCAGTACCAAGGAACACATCTCGGTAACGTTCTCAGAACCTAAAAGGAAAAGTGTCCAACATTAACAGCTGCTTGGACGACCTATCCCGGTTTAAATGCCTAACCACCAAGTTTCAAGCTGTAAAGCTGAGGGAAATTCTATGCATTTTTTGT